TTCTGTGTTTGTTTTGGTTTCTTTTTTGTTTTTTTTTTTTTTTTCCTCACTGCATACCTGAATATGCTGAAAACAATACTTGTTTGCTGCTTGGAGTATCTGGACTGGCACCTTTGCTCATTTCCACTCACGTGGATTTCAATAGAGAATTTAGGAAGCTTTGCTACAGCCTGAGTTTAATCTCAGGAGCTCAAATAACAACATGAGTGATAATGCAGCTGTGGACCCTTCGAGGAACCTGAGTACCTGCCCCGGGTCCTGGCAGGCTCAGGGTTTGCTGTGCACCTCTGCAGGTGTTACCTGAGCCAGGTAGATTGCAGCCAGAACAGAATGGTTTTCCTTAACGTGCTGCAGAGACACCTTTCACTGAAAATATTTAGGTCACCACAAGGGTCTCAGTGTGAATAACGCCAAGATTTTAAGGTGTTGCARTGTCATTTARGATAAAACRCACTCATSAGGTGTTTTCCARCCAAATTCCTGATTGCTACTGATTTTATTGTGCTAAGAGAAATACTGTGTTACGAGGAATACATATTACCATTTAATAAACAAGGGGTATGAATGTCTAAACTCATAATGCTGTGCAGATATTAGCCATGCCTGAAAGGTTAAACTCCTTGTTCTCACACAGCCATGATGATTTTATGATACTATCCCATTTTAGCCATCAAGCTTTGAGAACCAATTTGAATTTTGTTATTTCTTGGCAATATAACTGTCATTATCCAATACATTTTGTACTGAGGAGATTATTATGTGGCAATCTGCTAGCTTGCTCTTTCTGCTCTTCATTCCTTCACATGGGATATTGTTTTTTGTGAAGGTAATTCTCACCACCCTGCATAAATGAAGARCAATATGGAGTGTGTAGGGAAACCTATCTCCAAATTTAGCCCTGAAATAATTACATTTTCTGAATAGATTTTGGTGCAAGTACAGGAGTAAGAAAGCTGTACCCCAGAGCCAATTGTATGGAGTCAAAGAAAATCCTCTGCAGAGGGCACAAAGTAGCATCTTGCCAAATTTAATTGGTAACCTCTCAATCAAATATTGAACAGCAAACTCATTATGATGCATTGGCTGCTTTTCCACTTCTGCTCAGGCTTTTCATCTGRAGTGCTTGCTAGTTTAAAAACCAGAACAAATTCTGGGAGCAGAAAATAGAAGTGAAATTCCTGTATTTGAGCAGCTAGGAAACACAGCTAAACCTCTTGCTATGTTCAGTGAGGTTTATTAAAAATTCCATTATTACCAAGAATAGGAAGAAGCCACCACCCAGTGCCTCAGCCTGTCACCTGGGAGGAGRGCACAGTCCAAGCAGGTTGAAAGAGATTTTGGACTCTCACCTGGATGGGCCTGAAGAGTGTCTTCCCTTTCCTGGGTATTCCTCTACCACCCAGACCAGCACATAGAACAAATAACATTAAATGCAAACCCAACACCCACAGTGTTAAACAGAAATTGTTATTGCTCCAGTCCTTCAAAGGGTACTGACAGGCTCCTAAACCCCAATGTGTRGRYYTGAGATCCTGAGCTGATGGAAACACGTACACTGGCTATGCAAAACGATTCTAAAACATCCCTCGTTTGATGTTTCCTGTTCCCTGTTCTCTGCTCAGCAGGTGGGAGTTTCCACTTGCCCTTGGGAAGTGTCTTTCTCTGGACTATAAATAGAAGGACGAGGTACCTGACTCTGGATATTCTATTGCACTCTGGCAGCTGATACCCAAAAGCTGGATGTTGTAGCACATTTATAAGCTCCCAGCTTTCACAAAAATGCAAACTAGCAATGTCAGGAGGCAAAGTGCACTTGGGAACACAGCCTGAGTGGTTTTACCTCAGCATATCTGCACATCCTCTATTATTTAAGGGGAGTTTACACCAAATGTTCCCTGCTGCTACAGATTTCACTCACAAACCTGCTCCAGCTCTGCAGGTGCAAGCACCCTCAGMTGGCACCTTCTCCCAAGGCCCAAAGCCACATTCTCAAGGATATCACACTTCTTTCCAAACAGACTCAACCCTTCTTGTTTTCTTCCATGGCAAAGAAGGGAGTGGGAATTAAACCCAGAACAAATGCTGGATTCAACCATAAGCCAACCATAAGCTGAGTTGAGACCAACCTTTTTGTTGTTTCCAGGGATTTTGGAGTGGGTTGCTTTGGGGGAAGTCTTGAGCAAAAGCAGATGAAGAAATCACTTAGTGGGGTGGGATTAGATGATGTCTCAGCACCCAGAAGGTTTCTGAGTTAGGCCAAGACCATTGCATTTTCCTTTGAAAAGAGCATCCTTTTCCCTACTTGCACAATAATTCCAGTATTATTTTTTTWAAAATTTGGCTGAAAACCTGTATCTGTATTTTTTCCATCAC